ATATATATATATATATATATATATATATATAAAGTTTACTTACTAAGTTTACCATGAAATAGTGATAAAATAGGTTACGATTGCGTCTATTTCATTGTTGGTTTAAAAAAATATATATTAATGAGTTATTAAAGAAGTTTTGCCATGACGAAACATCTTCTTAAAATGACCCTCCCTACAGTGCGCTTTTCCTTGAATTGTTCGGTCATGCAATACTTATTGGATACAAACCAAATTCATTTTGATCCTATCACAGTTCTCAATCATTTCATGGTACTAGATGTGGTTGAACTATATACGACGGGGAGAGTGGATGCATAGGGAATAAGCTTAGATAATAGAAAATGTTATCACATTGTTTTTTTTTTATAGAAAGCTCGATCAACGAGAAAAAATATTTGGCTGAAGATAAAGATTATTTTATATCAAGGATTATTCAATATCAAGACTCTCCAAATGTCTATAAAATAAAGATGAGTTTACCACGAGCTAATATATCTACATTCAACTTCTACCACACTGAAAGAGGAATATATCAAGATCTACGTTAAAGTATTGTCTACTTCACATATGGAGCAATTATGATTAAAATTAAAACATAAAGGTCATTTAAAGATGAATAAGAGAGAGCTGATAATACATCCTTAACCTGTTAAACAAATCGAACTTCGGTCAAGTATATACACTCAATAACATACAACACTTTTTTTTCATTTTATTTCTCATTTCTAACTACTCATATCAACCTTATGAGTGCATAAGACAATAGATCAAAATATCCATGATCAATCCACTCAAATACAGGCTACAATGAGATTTAAAAGAAAACACCTTCATGACCACTAATTAACCCACCTAATAACCGACCAATACCAACAAATGAGCCAAACACACAAGTGTATTAACAATAAGGGAACAAGTGTTAACCAACTTCATCCACTCATTACAAATACAGCACCTATTATATAAGTTCAATTCACTCACGGTACACATGAAGATCATGTTAAGCTAATGATAGTAGGATTTATTGTTACCCTAAATATTACATTGATTATTATAATGATACATGCATATCTATGATAAATGAGAATAGACTCTCATGGCATATGTATGAGTATTTCAATAAAGCTCCTGATACTTGAGAATTACATTGGACATGAAAAACATGATAATTTTTTTTCTATACAGTTATTCTATTAGCTTTATATCGAATTTATATATGATCATTCTAATATTTAAAAAATTATATTTGATTCACTAGTTTAAAGACCCATTAATATTTTTAGCATTCAAGAAATATAAGTATTTGGTTACTTAGATCTTGCTGTGATAAAATGTATTTCCTTATTAATGCATTATATTCTCTATGTACTTAAGTAGTTCATTAGAATTTATCAACAACTTTTATATATATTTTTTTTTCAAAATGATACATAGATATTTTGATTATGTAATATGGATTGGATTTAATTTTATTATATTCATGTTTATATAAGATGTTAAGGTAGGTTTCATATGTTTATTAGTCAAGTGATAATTTACATTATAAATAAATAAATAATATTTGATGTTTCATAAAGACTATGCTAATATTTATGTTGCTAAAAAGCTACAAAGTAATAAAACGATAGGTTTAAGAGAATAAGATGACCCGACTCCTACTTTGATCTAATCTTATATAGTCACACGACTAAGAAATTCTATTGTGTACTAAAATAATGATTGAATAGTATCATTAGTAAGTATAATTGTCATAAGTTTTGAAGTTTATTATTAAATCATGGTAAACTTAATAATAATTAAGTGTTTTTTTTTACAACTTTATATTATTTTAGTACAGCAAAACTCAATATAATAACATATGGTACCATGATTGATATTCTTAAAATACAGTACTTGATAAATTATAATACTGTTACATGACATAAAATTTATAATTATTAAAATTTTAGAATAACAAAATTCACTTTTATATAATATAACTAAAAAAAAATCCTAGAAATTGTCCCAATAATTTTAGCTATTCTAGGATCTTAACAAAATTAAGAGTTTAATATTGTCTCAAAATATTAGCCACGATGTTGAAATTTAAATATATATTAAAGCTCTGATACAGTTTCAAAACTTTAAAATAGTCTTAAAATAATAATAATAATATCATAAGATATCAGTATTGTTTTTAAAAAAATTACAATGTATTTTTCTAATATCGATGTGCATGTAAGATCTTAGTGTGTATCTAGATACATACAAATCTATTATTATAGGACTTCAATGTTATTTTTCATGGCCTAATACACTTTCATAACCTTAAAAATATTATAAGATTTGAGCAATGTACCAGAATCTTCAGTTCAGCATCAAATCCGAGGACTTGTTCTTAAAGTTTGTGTATATTTATAACATTCAAACGCATTCTTTTAAATATATCCTCAAATTTTGAGTACATTGTCAAAATACATATTGATTTAATCGTATTTTACACAAGTTTTTAATAATTTTTTAAAACTGAGTTATACTATTACGTGGTTGATATATTAAATAATTTATAATATAAATTTTATATTATGTATCTTATTATTTAATATACTATTTTTATATAAATTATAATTTAAAACTATAAAAAAAAAATTATAAATTATCAAGTTTTTCTAGATGGACGATAGGAAATATTCTCTCTCTTACATACACATGAATAGTAGAATAAATTATACCCAAATTTTCTTAATTTAATAATTAGTTTTTGTATATATTAATTATGACGTAATGGTGTCTGATTTTCCAATTTTCATCGCGGGAGTTTCGGATTTGACTCGGTCGGTGGTATTCTGACGGCGTTGCTTGACGGTGCAATTAGAACCGACGTGGTGGTGGCACGTCGTCGAATGAAAAGTCCAAAATACCCTTCCAATTCGAATCTCATATTTTTTAATTTAATTTAATTTAAACGTGTTTCAGTCACCTCATCCTCTTTCGAGCGCTGTTGTCGGAGATTCCTCAAAAGGGACAAATTTTAATTAAATTACAATTTTACCCCTCTCCTCATATAAGCAACAATTTAAATTAAATTATTATTTTATAAAAATTACCAAAAATCAATCTCTAAGAATACGAAAAAAGAAAAAAAAAACTTAAAATATAATATTTTTATTTGGTTTATTAAAATATTTTTCAGTAATTTCTGTATTTTTCTATTAAAATTTTATGGTTTTATAAAAAATTATAAAAAAAAAAAATTAAGACCTAAACTTCAGCCTTATCTTATATTTTATTATAATATATATATATATATATATATATATATATTTTTACCCTTTGACGTTAAGGATAATTATGAAAGTAATTTGAGGACATTTCACCGGGTGGTATTGATTAGACTTTGTTTGCAATTAAGGTTTCTGTCACTATTTTTAACAACATGTTTGGAATAAATTAATAAAGTTGAATTCACACTAGTTTATATATATATATATATGTATGTATATATATATGTGTGTGTATAGCTTCCTAGTTAGGGATTATATTACAAGTTTGACAGTTATTTATCTATAATCAATAAAGTATAATTATTAACTTATTAGTATATTATTAGAATTATAATGATAAAATGAGATAATATTTAACCATTTTATTATTTTTTTATAAAATAAATATTTTTTATATATTAAATTTATTTAATTGAGATAACTATAACGAGTTAGTTGGTGCATTATGCTTTAATCATAATCAATTTTTAATATTTGATAAAGTATAACTGACGATTTAATTTACTAATGTATTAGTAGGGTCACAGCTACTAATGTATTGAGTGCCGATCAATGTATGATTCTGTGCCCTAAATGATTTTTAATAGTGGAAGTCAACTT